AGAGTAACTTTACACTTATAAATTGATTCTGTGCACGGTCAGGCGCTTCATCAAATTAGTCATGTTGCCAACACACGCAACTAGTTCACAACACAGATACTATGGCAAGCCATAATAACAATTAATAGCCACAAGTGGCTATTTGTGATTATTAATTGTGATTATGGCTTGCCATAGCATCACGTGAACCCCGTCTGTGGGTGTAACCACGTATGTGTTTTTCCTGGTCTTTCCTGCGTGCTGCAAGTTGCTGCACTGGCTTTGGCTGTAACTTTACACGTGGTTGAAACCACGTGTAAAGTTACAGCCAATCACCGAAACTTGACACCGAAAGACGAGGCATATTTTGATACATATACCGGCACCATAAAAGAACCGAAGTTCGGAACTCAGCCCTATGCATGTGTGGGTTTTCTCCGGGTACTCCAGTTTCCTCCCACAGACCAAAAACATGCATGTTAGACTGATTGGTTACTCTAAATGGTCCCTATGTGAGATTGAGTGAGCGGTTGTTTGTCTTGTTTCTCTCTGGGTGTCCCTGTGATGGACTGGAGACCTGTCCAGGGTGTCCCCCGCCTCTTACACAGTGACTGCTGAACATGGGCACCAGCAATCTGGGAAGGCAGAAGTGGGTAAAGATAATGGATACCTTTAGGGCTTTGGCAGTCCTGAAGGATTTGTGAAGTACCTAATGGCCATAAAGGACATAGTTACTGAAACAAAAACTCAGGTGTGGGAATATTTCTCAGAGGTTTATGCAAAACTTTTTATTGTAAAATAGTAAAGGAGACAAACTCATGACGTGGCTGTGGCTGTGGTTGAGTGCTTAGAGCAGTCGTCCTCCAATGCAAGAGTTGGGGTGCAAATCCACTAGCAGTCACATGCTGAAGTGTTCCTGCGCAAAACACTGAACCCCTCGTTGCCTCCGATGTGTGTCCCATCAGTGTATGAATGTGATAAAGCTCTGATTAGTCTCTTTAGAATTATTTGTTCAATTAGCTTTGTAGAGATCCAGTAGAGTGCTGTATGAATGGGTAAATGAGGATACATATTGTAGTGTAAAGCGCTTTGAGTATCTTGATAAGATAGAAAGGCGCTATATAAGTACAGTCCATTTACCATTTACTACAGTAACTGAAGAAGGCATTACAGAAATTCATTCAGTCTCTTTCTTCTTCTGCATTTCTACTTAACACCGTCTCTTCTCCCTGACATCACAGCAGTGTCTGTTGGATAAATTTAAAAAAGTTATAATTTAAAACTCTTTTAGACTTCTTACTATTTTTCTTAAAACTTCAGCCGTGTGAACTGAAGCCCAGCTGAAACACAACATCCAGAGTTTTGTGTGCAGCTGGTGTGTTCGTACTAAGAACACAGACCTTGGGTTTTTAAACAACCATGGCTGTTATTTAGTTCTGACCTTGCTATACTGCTATCCTGTCTTCGTATCAAACTGTTTGTTAGTTTAATCATATTTTGTGTCTCCGCTGCGTCGGAGAAGTTGTATCTGTTGATTTGTGCCTTGTTTCCCACACCCCCTCCACCTAATAAAATATGAGCGTCACAGTCGGAACATCGGACTTCTTCTCTTGACGTTTGGTCGAGCAAGAACTCCCACCTCTGCAGAGGACTTTTTTAAAGAAAGTTACGCTTGCCTTGTGTGAATTCTTTACAAAGGTGTTACGAGGAAAAAACCCTTTCAGTGTTATTCAGTGACAACAAGCAATAACAGCAACAAATCATAAAGGGATTTACTGTGTAAACCAAAGAACACAACACTGTTAATGACACAGAAATAGAAAGCAGACCCCTGCCCAGGCAGAGTTTGATGTGGGAATTGAACTAAATTTATAGTTGAGTGCTGGACGGAGCATGTTTAAGTTATGGACCTTGAGCCTTCCTCAATGGTGACTTGGTGGAATGAGACAGCTCTTTTGGAGTGGCAGACCATAAACCATCCTAATTAAAAAATACTGAGATCAGAGAGTGTATTGTAGCAATCAGGAAGACCAAGCTGCTAAGCCTCCTTATGAAAGTTTACTGGCGCTGGAAAAGAAGTTTTGATACAGGGCACAGGGCACAGGGGCTCCTCAGGGGACGGTCCTCTCGCCATTTCTGTTCACCCTCTACACCTCGGTCTTCAGGTACAACTCACAATCATGCCATTTGCAGAAGTTCTCAGATGACTCTGTCATTGTGGGCTGCATCACTGGTGACCAGGAAGCTGAATACAGAGGTGTGGTGGACAGCTCTGTGGAGTGGTGTGGACAGAACCACCTGCAGCTCAACGTTGGAAAAACGAAAGGGCTGCAGGTGGACTACAGGAAGAAGACCAGCCCTTCCTACCCTATCAACATCAAGGGTACTAAAATTGACTCTGCGGACTGCTACAAGTACCTGGGGGTCCACCTAGACAATAAACTGGATTGGACAGCTAACACCAACGCCCTCTACAAGAAAGGGCAGAGTCGCCTTTTTCTTCTGAGGAGACTCAGGTCCTTTAATGTCTGCAGGACCATGCTACAGATGTCTCACCACTCTTCTGGTGGTGTGATGGGGCAGCAGGGTGAAGAAAGCTGATACCAACAGACTCGATCCAACAATGTTCAGTCAGGTCAAATGGATGGTTTCTTTTTTTGCTGAGACGTTTTGTCCTTCATCCAAAGGACTTCTTCAATCTGAGGAGCCACCAAACAAAACTGAGTCCCACAAACAGCATACTCCATAGTGGAAAAAAACAGTTTGCTGGTGCTAAGATGGACTCCGGGGCCCACCCTCTCCTCTGTCAACTCTGAGACAGTCATGCCAAAGTGGTTCAAAACACCACCAAGAAAAACAGACAGACATCAACAGTAGGGGTGTAGAAAAAAATTGTTTTTTTTAAGAATCTAGCTTCCTAGTTCTGGCGACTCTGAATCAGTTTTCTGGGGAAGACAGAGATTAACAAGAGCACAGTTGTTTGCAAGAAGTGTAAAATAAAATTGCGGTACAGTAAGTTGGAAATATGAGAAAATGTGCAGAAGCTGAAAAGCGAAGCAGCAGATCAGCAAACTCTGCAACAAACTTCCAGCTGATTCCAGTAAGATTTCCTTCTCCATCATCTGCTATATCACAAAGGATTTATGAGAAAACAGCTCAGTGGAAGGCAAGGGGTTTAGGTTTATTTTAAATATGCTGGACCCAACACACGTTATTCCTTCACATATATTTTTAGTGATAAAGCAGTGCCACAGCTCCACCATGAAACAAAGAATAGTGTGAGAAACTCTGATTAATGCCACGAGCTGCAGCTCAAAGGGTAACTGTTATTTCTTATATAAACGTTGTACAACAAACTTAATGTAATTTGTCTTTTTAACATGTTGAAGAGAGGCCAGATGAGACATATTGCCTGGAGCCAGTTCTAAATGATACAAGATGGTTTATTAATTACAGTTCAGAAGAGTTTTTGTGCAGGTTTGCACAGATTTTGAAATTTTGTTAAATATTTACCAACTATGAATTAATATGGTTAAGACTGTGAAGTCTGTATATTTCATATTAGGTTAAGCTTTGAAAATATAACAAATGTTAGAGCAATATGGTAAAAAACTGTGGAGTCTGCTTTTTTTTTTTTTGAGTTAAAGGTTAATGCACTATGGTAGACTGAAGTCTTTGTTTTCTTTTGTATATATATATATATATATATATAT